AACTCTGATTATCAGTATCTGTATCAATGGTTAGAAGGCAGTATTGCAGGTGACTTCTGCTGACTGTCAGCTGACTGCAATTGGCAGTTTGAATGTCACCAGACTCAAGGATGACTCTGCCTTCCATCCTTCCGAGTGGGTAAACTAAGGAATTGGGGGCAATATGCTGACTCTGTAAACCACTTAGAGAGGGCTGTAAAGCACTGTGAAGCAGTAAATAAATCTAGGTGCTATTGTTATTGCTATATTCATTTGAACTGCTTGAATTTCCTGGTTTCCTCAGCCTTGACATTGATCAAGTGACAGATGGAAGTGACCTTCTTTCTCTTGCTTTAAGGCAGAAAGCACCTTCTTTTCCAGGGTCTGATAGAACCAACTACCAAGCTATCTCCAGGCTCTTGACTGCAAAGATCCATGATTAAGACTCTTCACCTCTTTCTTTTTCAGATATGGATGACTGCATCAGTTGCCCAGATGATCACTATGTAAAAGATGGTGAAAATGTGTGCCTTCCTAAAGTTATACATTTTCTCTCCTATAAAGAGCCTTTGGGGATCACTTTGGCTTCATTTACTATCTCCCTTTCCTTGACTGCAACTTTTGTGCTAGGAGTTTTTATTAACTACCAGCACACACCCATTGTCAAAGCCAACAACCAGAGTCTTAGCTACAGTCTGCTTGTATCTCTCATCCTCTCTTTCCTTTGTGCATTCTTCTTCTTTGACCGTCCCATACAAATAACTTGTCTTCTTCGACAAACGTCCTTTGGCATCATCTTCTCAGTGGCAATTTCATGCATATTAGCAAAAACCATTATGGTGATCCTGGCTTTTATGGCCATCCAGCCACATTCCAAGACCAGTAAGTGGATGGGGAGAAAACTGCCAATTTTTATTGTCCTCTCCTGTTCTTTTGTTCAAGCAGGCATTTTGGCTACTTGGCTGGGCTTTGCACCACCATTCCCAGATGTTGACATGCACACATTAGAGGAAGAGATAGTGCTGGAATGTAATGAAGGTTCAACTAAAATGTTCTATTGTGTTCTAGGATATATGGGCTTCCTTTCCATCATATCTTTCTTTGTGGCCTTTTTAGCCAAAAATTTACCTGATAGTTTTAATGAAGCCAAGTTCATCACCTTCAGTATGCTGGTCTTCTGCAGTGTCTGGCTGTCCTTTGTCCCAACCTATACGAGTACCAAAGGCAAATACATGGTAATTGTGGAGATCTTCTCTATCTTGGCCTCCAGCACTGGCTTGCTAAGTTGTATCTTTTTCCCCAAATGCTATGTGATTTTACTAAGACCTGATTTGAATCGCAGGGAGCAACTAATAAAGAAAAAGAAATAAATGGTGGTGTATAAAAATGTCTTCCTTTAGCTGAGGACTGAACATTCAGTTTCCAAAATTTAAACTCTAGGAAATTTGCTAATAGAGATATGTAATGCCGAAACTGAATACAGAGAAGCACATTTAGATACAATTGCAGTAAGTTAAAGGAATGTTATTACATTTATATCAAACTGTATTTTAGGTCACTCTACATTCAATACAAAAATGTGCACCAGAGAACATTGTATGTAAAAGCAATAGCAATTCTTACTGATGTGTGTTTATTATCTGCATTTCACTTTCTGTATCTTTAAGACATGCATTTTAATATCTTCCTTGTTGCTTTTTATTTGTGAGTCCATTTATAAGGAATAAATCTATTTAATCTGTTAAAATACTGAACAACTTTCTTTTCCACCCTTCAAACAGAAAGTTATTCTACAGTGCCTAGCTTTGCAATACTTTAACTTAAACATTTGAGTGTCATTCATCAATCCAGGCCAAATTTTCATGCTTTATTTGATATCATGTGAAACAGCAAAGAGATTCAAGCAAAAATTAGTAAATGGTAATTTTGACTTAGAAGGGAGACTAGAAATGCTGAGTTCTGCAACTGGTGGTGATTAAATACTAGTTAATACCACAAGGTGTCAGTGTTGGACTAGAAATGTATACAGAGATACATTATTTCAGTAGTAGTACATGGTCAAGCATTCCTCCACCCATTCACTAGCTGCTCATTTAGCCATGTCAAGATTGCTAACATGAAATCAACATCCCAAGAAATAGTTCTCCTGTATAGTCAAATTATACCTAAGATACCATATCTACTTCTAGTCTTCACAATAGGCAAAGGATGTTGAAGAACTGGAAAGAATGCAAAAAGCCAAGAATTTGGCCTCTAAATTCTATGAAGGCCAGTTAAAGGAACTTGGTATGTTTAGCTTCAAGAAGAGAAGGTCAAGAAGAGATATGACAGTAGAAGTGGTGGGATTCAAATTTTTTTACTACCAGTTCTGTGGCCATGGCTTGGTGGGTGTGGCCGAGTGACTGGGTGGGTGTGGCTTTTTTTGCTTTTTTGCCACCCCCACCCATTTTTGGGAGCTTCCTAGCCTCAGAAGAGCTGGGGGGGCATTTTTGCTCCCCTAAGGTTCCTCTGGGGCTCTGGAAGGCAAAAAATGGAGGGGGGGGGGGCTGAGCTCCTCCCTCCATTTTTTGCCTTCCTATGCCTCAGCAAGGGGAATCCCGGCACAGCTGATCTATGTACAGCTGATTGTCGGGAGGGAAAAAAAGAGAAATACCTTAGGCGAATGTCAGGCAGGTGGGTAAGCGAACATTGGGCGGGAGGGCGACCAAGTTGGGGATGTGACCAGCCAGAACTTACTACTGGTTTGGCAACCCATGCCAAATTTTTGCTACCGGTTCACCTGATCTGGTGCAAACTGGCTGAATACCACCACTGGACAGCAGTCTTCTGATACAGGAATAAGACAAGCAACAATGGGTGCAAACATTGCGGTAACAGATTGGAACTTGAATTAAGGAGGAGTTCCCCCAATATTTCAATACAGAATAGAGCTGGATGGAACTTTGAAGATCTTATAGTCCAACCTCTTTCTCAAATAGGAGACCCCATACCATTTCAGACAAGTGGTTCTCCAGTCTCTTCTTAAAAGCCTCCAGTGCGAAGCATCCACAACTTCTGAAGGCAAGCTGTTACACTGGTTAATTGTTCTTACTGTGAGGAAATTTCTCCTTAATTCCAGGTTGCTTCTCTCCTTGATTAGTTTCCATCCATTGTTTCTCTGATGCTTTGGAAAATAAGTAGACCTCCTCTTCTTTGCGGGAGCCCCTCAAATATTGGAACACTGCTATCATGTCACCCTTACTCCTTCTTTTCTCTAGACTAGCCATACCCTAATCCTGCAACTCTTCTTCACATGTTTTATCCTCCAGGTCCTTAATCATCTTAATTGCTCTTCTTTCCACTCTTTTCAAAATCTTAACATTTTTTTTTTATAATGTGGGTTCATAGTTCACTCTGGTAACTATGAAGTAATGGAATAACCTCTCTCTGGAACTCAAAGAAGTTCCATTACTAGGAGTTTTCAAGCAAATGTTGGACAATTATTTATCTAAGATGATATGAGGGACTAGCAGACTTTCAAGATATTTTCCAATTCTATGATTCTACCATCTTTATTTAAGCAAACATGCTATTTCAAAAACTTAGGGGAAGGCTAGGAAATAAATCCAAACTTGCTCAGGTTAGATCAAATAGAATAATCTCAGCCACTTCTCACAATACAGGAAAAAGCAGACACATTGGAAGAGGAAAAGAAGAGAACTTGGAGGAAAGGGCCATACACAAAAAAATGCCGAAGCAGAAGTTGAAAATAGTTCATCTTTATCATGTTTCCTAAATCTCAAAACATAACCTTGGAAGTTTTTAAAAAGTTGAAAGAAAGTCAAGATATCACTGAATCAATATTTCTAACTCCAGGAATTCAATAAATATAGATCAAAAAGTTCAGGTATAACTCTCAGTCCAGATTGTATGGTGCATTTTAATGCCTCTCATTCTTTAAGTGAATTAAAGTCTCTGAGATATTAGTATTTATGTTAACTGGCTGCAGTTTCCTATTCTCTGCCAATTCATGAAGACTTCTTTGTGTATATTTTGGAAGCTCAAGACTTCTGTGTTCTTAGAAAACATATTCTAATCTGCAAATTTTGCTTTAAACAATTCTATGGAAAATTATTTTAACAGATTGCCTCTGATTTTAGCAGCACTATACAAGTTAGTTAGAGTTAGATATGTGAATTAGATATAAAGTGTCTTGGTTACTGGTTCATAATTATTTTGCATTGTTTTCTTTTCTCCTGTTGTGGAGAAATGGTTTATCATGTTTTATTTTTGTCTTTTCTTCTTGTTAGCCCCCATAATTAAGTAACCATATATCATCGACTTTCTTCAAAGAATCAGTGGTAGGAATGGATTGCTTTAAAACAATATAAATACAAAGTACATCAAATATACAGGAACAAAGGAATGATGGCTCAAACACACTTACAGACCCTAAACAACAACAACAAAAAGCTTGTCAATGCATACAGTTTTCTTTGCTGGCACCACATGAGTTTTCCAACACTTCCTATTTCTCCTGAAGCGTGACTTGTGAAATTCTCACAGCAACTATTTGGTTGAATTTTCCTGATAGGTCTATTGAGAAGCTGATAAAAATACTTTGGGGGTATGATTCCTACAGCAAAGGGTCTCCATGGTGGATCATGTCCAGGACTCTTCAGCCCATCTCAGCTCCCCATCTCAGTGCTCTTTCAGGTGGACCTTGGTCTAAAATTTGTTGTTCTGAGGTGCTCTAAATCAGCATCTAATATGTTGAACAGAAATGTAATTCTTCTGCAACTTCTTCCTGTTAGTTGAGGACTGAAAGTATATTAAATAATGTTAAGAACAAAAAATGGATTGTTGATGAGATAAGCAATGCAAAATGCCAGCTGAGATCTCTGATTTCAGTTTTCTGTTTCTTGAAACAAGTTCCTATGGTTTTGTGACTGTGTTTCTGTGAAGTCTGGCATTTCTCCACAGAATGATTGTGCAAGTGTGGGCTTCCTTGAAAACTCTGTGGACTTCCCATAGAAGGCATTTAGATAATCTGCTTCAAAGGAGAAGGTTCATTTTAGAAGTCAAAATACTCAAGCATGGTTTTTGAAGAACAATAATTCCTGAGAGACCATAATTTTCAAATCAAAATTTCAAAGAAGATTAATCTCACTCAACATGGTTGCCTTTGGTCTGGTCCCCATCCTAAGTGAGTTACCTTTTCCTCAAAACTCTTCTTCATTTCTCTTACTGTTTTTTCATTGCTGTTGTTCTTAAATGTCTATTCTTACACCATTCTTATTAAAATGAAAACTTTGACTTGCCAAAAATTTAAAAATGCAGATAATGATGCATCTTGAGTACCCTTTTATGAGCAAAAAAAATTTAAAAGGCCTCTGTGATTTAGCTTTGAAGCTTGCATAGGTAAATTTTCTTTAAACATTGATCGACATTGGAATTTCAAATGTTACAACAAGGTTGATGTTACAACCTTTCTAACAGCAGAAAGCAGATTAGTTTCTCTTTGATACCCAGGATAATGTGAAATATGTAACATGTTATAATCCTATATGACATATCTTTAAATAAATACAGTACAGCTTCAAAGAAACCCTGCAATTCTAGGTGCATTGCCCAGAGAAGAAGATGTGTTGAATTCAGCTACTGCTTTGCAGCAATGAACTGTTGATATGTATTGTCCATCAGCAGCAGCAGCAGCACTGGGTTTTTTTGGGGCTTTTGAGCAATCCAACCAAAATATTTTTGAAGTAGTTCCATTTATAAAATAATCTGCAAACCATCTAGTTTTCTTCATTGGTGGGATTTAAATTTTTTTTACTACCACTTCTGTGGACATGGCTTTGTAGGCGTGGTGTGGTTTGGTGGTGGGTGTGGCAGGGGAAGGTTATTGAAAAATCCCATTCCCTCCTCACCCCACTAACCTGCTTTCCAGCTCTCTTCTCCTGTGCAGGGCAACAAAAGAAGACTCAGCCAATCAGCTGGGACTTGAGAGGCAGAGAATAAATGGAGGCAGGGCCAGTCAGAGGTGGTATTCTGAACTATTCAAAATTTCCACTACTGGTTCTCCAGAATTGGTCAGGACCTGCTGAATACCACCTCTGGTTTTCTTCCCTCCTCTCCTTTTTCTTCTCTTTTTAATGTATGGTGACAATTGTTATACTTGAAGTGAATCTGTACATTCCTTGGATGTATATTTAGTTCTCTTAATTAGTTGAAGTTCATTCACATTATTTCTTTTAAAAAAATAAACAATTACACCATTAATAATGTATTTCTAAGTAGATATATAAAGAACTGCTATGTAAGTCAGTGAAATTCTGGTAATCCTTAACAAAAACATTTCTTATATATTTCTCATTCTTTTGCAGCTTTGCTTCATATTGTTCTCCAAGTATCCTCATCTGCAGGTAACATTTCAGTTTTCCTTCCTTCCTTCCTTCCTTCCTTCCTTCCTTCCTTCCTTCCTTCCTTCCTTCCTTCCTTCCTTCCTTCCTTCCATCCATCCATCCATCCATCCATCCATCCACATAATATACCAAAAGTGAAGGAAAAATAGCTCATCCAAGAAGCTTCTTCAGTTCTGACTGGATGGGAAGGAATGGAAGAATTTATATTCCTTGCAGTCATCTGGTTGTTAGTACTCTTTTTGAGAGTCATCCAGAACACTTGGAGGTTTATTTGTGCCCTCAGGATCCCCTGAATAATGCAAATGGGTGTGCAACCTTTTTTGAAATTGCTGAAAGGACTGTGTTGTAACTGTGCTGGGACTTTTAGCAGTTCCAAAAAGATTCCACACTCATTTGCATTATTCAGGTGACCCTGTGGGCACAGATAAATCTCCAAGTGTCTCAAAAAGAGCGCTAATGACCAAAAGATGACTGCAAGGAATATAAATCCTTTCATTCCCCACCATCCAGTCATCAGAACTGAAGAAACTTCTTGAATGAGAAGCAAAACGTCTTCAAGAAAAAACAAAGAAAGTCCAGTTGCTTCTTGAAAAACCACCTTTGGGACAACCATGACCTGGATGACTGAAAATCGCTGTAGAGATCTCTCAATTACAGGGAATTGGATGAAAACTAGAAACTAACTCACTATTCCTCTGCTAGGTTAAGATCCAAAAATATGATATGCTTCATGCCCATACAGTTCTGAGAAAGAGGGTTGCTCTCTGCCCTTGAGATTTTTCTGACCTATTGGCCATCCTTGCCAATGAATGGCACCAAAGCAACAGGGCATCCTATTTGGTGTGGGTTTCAAAACTTTTTCCTACTGGTTTGGTGCGAGTGTGTCCTTTGCATGAGCATAGCATTTGCAACTCACCTTCTGCTGCGAGCCCTGTGTGTAAAACAGCTGACACTCAGCAATTGGCTGTGCCGTGCAAAGCTGCTAAGGTTGAAAAGCAGGAAATAAAGGCCAGTATAGAGCCAAGGGTGAGTGGGAGGGCCCAGCAGTTGATCATCGGAACTAACAGTTCGGCTGAACTGAGCCATACTGGTAGCATACCACCATTGATCCTATTAACATATAACAAGAGTTTGTATGGACAAGCAATAGTAACATCTGGTGTGTGTTTCATGGATCACAAAGGACAAAACCAAACCACCCAACTCATGATGCTCAAGAGTGAAAGATTCATCACTGATTGTTGTATCTTTATCTGCAGTATAAAGAAATAGAAACCAAATCTTTTGAAGAAGTGATGGTCTGTTTCTTGCATGAGTGGAAGAAGGAACAGTGATTTATTCTTTTGTTTTAACTTGGTCACACTTGCAAAAGATTTTTCACAAACAACTCCCTTCTGCTTGAACTGGGGGAAGAGAGAAAAATATTTGTTCACTAAAATGTTCTTGAGTTAATGATAAGAATCTTGACAGGTGCAACAAATCTCTCTCTATATTTTTTATTCCTTCTGTTTTTCTAACCACCCATTCCTGTAATTTCTGCACATTGATCACTCTCATTTTATCCTGACTTGTTACCTTATAATCTTCTGAAAATCGATACGCAATTGCTATAGTTAAAAGTGGATAAAATATAGTTCTTTATTATATATATGTGTGTGTGTGTGTGTGTGCGCGCACGCGCGCAATAGAGAATTCCTTCCTCTCTGCTAACACCAAAGCGTTTTCATAAATGTAACAAATGCACTTGAATCTGGCCATTTCTTAATTATGTTAACAGTATTTCCTTTATACCTCAACCACACCACACAGACACAGTTCAGACTAAAAAAAAATAAAAAAATGTCTGTTTGGACTCAAGCTTCAAATTCATGAGAAACATATGCTTCAAAAAATACAAGGAAGGCCCCCGGGGAGACCTAGTTGACAACTCCTAAAGGACCTATATCTTTTTACCAATCAGATTCAGTCAAATCTCTAATGTGATGTAAGTGACTGGCTTTAAGCAGAGAGCATATACCAGTTCAGTATCTGATTTTTTAAAAATAAAGATGATGCTGAGTTTCAATGGTTAGATGGCCTGGACATTTGGAATTTGAACCTAGATCTTTTTAATATTTTATTGTACTTTACTAATTTAGGTGAAATGTTAATATATATTGCTAGTCCATGTATCATATGTGTTCCGGACTAGCAGGCTCGAAAGCCTGCAACTCTGATTGGCCCGCGAATAGCAGATCGTGATTGGTCACCGCAGACTGATCCGATTGGCTAGTAAATGGGCTGCCGCGATTGGCCCAGCCAAGAGTGGCAAACTCAAATCACCTTCATTGGCTGCCTAGCTGCAGCCAGCCCTATATAAGGGGATGCTGCGGCTGGGATAGTTCGCTCAGATCTGAAGTCACTAATAAAGAGCTGTTGTTGTTATCTGAGTCTTGCCTCCGTTCTTGAACCATCCTCCCAGATCTAACACTGGCGACGAGGATGGGATGCGGAGGCAACAAAGTCTATTGAACTCGAGCTAGCTGAAGGAGCACGTGGCTGACAGAGCGCAACAACGGTGACATAGCCAGCAGCGCTCTACCACCCGCCCCATTCGATCCAGCTAGCAAGGACTGGGACTCATATATGGACAGGTTTCAAATGTTCCTAGAGTCCAACAACCTCAAGGATGCCACGCCCAGCAAGAAACGAGCCGTTTTTCTAATGGATTGCGGACCTGCCATTTTTAAAATGGATAAAGCACTAGCGAAACCAGCTGAAGTTAAAACGATGGATTGGGACACCCTTGCTCCCATCCTGTGCAACCACTACGCCCCAGCAGTACCGATTCTCATTCACAGACACGAGTTCTATCAGAGGGACCAGCGTGAAGTTGAGAGTGTCGGGGATTTTGTGGCAGACCTGAGAAACCTGGGTGGTTTATGTGGCTTCGCTAATCTCGAAGAAGCCATGAGAGACAGAATTGTCCTTGGCCCTAGAGATCCAACTGTCCAGAGCAAGATCATGGCCAAGGGAGACATCTCACTTGCAGATTCCATAGCAGACGCCACCGCAGCTGAAGCCACTTGTAAATCAGCAGCACGAATGTGCCAAACCAGCGGGACCAACTGCCAACCCAGCAACGATGCTGGGAAACCTTCAGACAAGTGCACATCGGCCACCCATCATGAAGATATCAAGTCATCCTCAGACAGCGAGGAGGAAGAAGTCCACAGACTCCGGTCAGAATGTGAGCAACAGGACCAGCGGGGTCATAAATCCAACTACCAATGCGCTGGATGCGGTGGAAACCATCCTCGATCCAAGTGCAGATTCTTAGACGCCATTTGTCGTTTTTGCGAAAAACATGGGCATATTGCTGAAGTATGCAGAAACAAAAGAAATTCCAGCCCCAGACGGAGAGGGAGCAGCCCGAAAAGAACCGATGGAAACCCCACCACACAGAGGGACCGCCCTAGCAACCAGTGGAACCAGTACATCAGACCCCGAAAGTTTAATGGCACGCCCAGACGAGAAGAGGCTCATCAAACCATCACCATTGGCCATGCTTCATCGCTAGATGCAAAGAAAATTCATGTAAAAGTCACCATCGAAAATAAAGCTTGCATCATGGAAGTAGACTCTGGGTCCTCACTATCCATGGTATCCTGGAAAACCCTCAAGCAACTGATTCCCAACATCCGACGCCAAGACCTCAGCAGTCAGAGACTCATACTGAAAGATTATCAAGGCAACCGGATTCCAGTCGCAGGTACCAGCCATTTCCAGGTCTCTTTCAAAGGACATGATGCAATACTACCACTCACCATTTGTAGACAGAGACCGGCAAAGTCTACTGGGCCTTCAGTGGTTCGTGCCATTAGGAATCAGAATGGCTGGCATCCATCATACTGAAGATGATGACTGGGAAGCGGCCCTCGTCCACAACTTCCGAGAAGTTTTCAGCGAAAAGTTAGGCAAGTACAAGAGGTCCCCTATTTCATTTAATCTTTGCCCTGACATTGTGCCCATTCGCCTAAAACCATGCCGAGTTCCTTTTGCTCTCAAACCCAAAATTGATGAGCAACTGGACAAATTAATTGCACAAGGTGTGTTAGAGCCCATTGACCACGCCCGATGGGAGACACCAATTGTCACCCCCATAAAGCCTGACGGGTCCTTGAGAATCTGTGGAGACTACAAGGCCACCCTCAATCACGCACTGCAACAGAGCGCCTATCCGGTACCAGTCATTCAACATCTCCTACATTCACTTGGGGGTGGCAGAATATTCACAAAACTAGATCTGGCCCAAGCGTATCAACAGCTGCCAGTTGATACCGAAACTGCAGAAGACCAAACTACAGTTACACATCGTGGTGCATTCAAATGTAATAGGCTCCAGTTTGGAGTAAGTGTAGCACCAGGCATTTTTCAAAGCCTGATGGAGAGACTATTACAAGGCATAAAAGGGGTCGTGCCCTATTTTGATGACTTATTGATAGCAGCCCCAACAAAAAGTCAATTAGAGAAATGCCTCAGAACAGTCCTACAAAGGTTCAAAGATGCTGGCCTCAAGGTTAAGAAGGAAAAGTGTCAGTTATGCACAGAAAGGGTGGAGTTTCTTGGCTACCTTCTTGACAAACAAGGAATCCACCCTACAGAAAAGAAATTGGCAGCTATCAAAAATGCCCCAAGACCCAAAAACAAAACTGACCTCCAAGCCTTCCTGGGACTCATTAACTTTTATAACATCTTCCTACCCTGGAAGGTGACTGTTGCCGAGCCCCTTCATAGACTACTCGATAAAGGGGCCTCCTGGATTTGGGGGCGACGGGAGGAACATGCTTTCCAGCAAGTAAAGGACCTCCTCACCTCTGATGCAGTACTAATACAATATAACGAGACATTCCCATTGACTGTTACTTGTGATGCCTCACCGTTTGGGGTGGGGGCCATTCTGAGCCATGTCCTATCAAATGGTTCAGAAGCACCAATTGCATTTTTTTCAAGAACTTTGT